TGGCCTGGTGCCCTTTGTTCTCGATGTCAATGGCCGCTGGGGTGCAGAGGCGGAGACGTGGCTGCGCCGTGCCGTGGGGGAATTGCCCGGGGCCGAACGGCCCGCAGCGCGCTCGTCCCTGCGCTCGGCAGTGGCCAACGCCCTGCAGGGCCAAATCGCTGAGCAGGTCGCCCTGGCGACGGAGGACGTAGTCGGGCTGGGCGCCGGGGTCGCCCCGAGTGTCCGGTCTTGACTAGGTGTGGCTCCCGCCCACTTGCGTGTGCCCCCTGGCCTTTCCCTCCCCCCTTGCCTTCCTGCTGCCCTGATCAGTCATAAAAACATGGTCACGTCAGCTGTGTGCACGGTACTGTTTAGTTCCCTCATGGTGTGCATGATGCGCTCTTGCCTCGTCATGTCTGTCCCGCACGCTGCGTTGTGCAGTTGCCCAGCCTTGTGCGCGTTGTGCTCCCGCTATGGCACATTCGTTGTGCTCTTAGTCTTGAGCTGCTCTCTCAAACCGTCCGTGTTGGGCCATCATTCCGCCAGCAGCACCTGCCCGAGACCACTTGTAAAAGAGGCGTCAAGAGGCGTTCAATATCGGGGTCGCCCCGCGGGTCCTGGGACCGTCGGCGGCCCGCCGTCCGCTTTGTCGCCCGCCCGCGACGTGGTTTCCTCGCCCCCCTTTCCCTTCTCCTGCCCGTCCAGGGTCCCGAACGGGGGTCAGGCCGTTTTCAGCTTGCACAAGGATCGGTTTCCACACACCTGGAGCCGCTGGTTTCAACCTTAAGTTCTCATGTTCTACCTTTGCCCCGCCTTGGCAGTCGGCCGCCCCATTTTGGTTCGGTGTGCAGCCTCTCCCTCTCCCCTTTCTTCCTCGGCAGCTGTTTGGCTCGTGGGGTCTCGCCTCGCGCGATCTCTTGAGCTGCACCTCCCGTGCCATCCTTCCGACCGAGTGATGGCGCCCAAGTTCTCGAAGCCCGCGCCGATGCCGTGGCCTGCAGTGACGCATGCCGACTCGCCTAGTCACGATGCGGCGCCTCTTCGCGAAGCGTTGGCGGCGAAGGCTAAGGCGAAGGCCGAGGCACGCGCGAAGGCCAGCGGTGCGACCGCGGCCGACGCGCCCACTCCCAAAGCGGGGCCTGCGCAGCGCCCAGGCCAGCAGGTGAGCGTGTCGGAGAGCGAAGATGTCTCGGACGAGGGGTTCGACGTGATGTCTGAGGCGGCGACCTTTCGGACGGCGCCGACACTGCCCGCGGGATCAGTGACGTCTGCCGAGGGCGCCGACGGAGGCAGCGGTACGGGGGCCGCCCCCAGTGCCGCTGCTTCTGAAGGTGCCTCGGACGGAGGCCCCACGGCGGCGGCCGAGGCGCCTGCTGAGGCCTCCGCGATGCCCACGTCGGCGGTGGTGCCAGTGACGAGGGCTGCCCTGGCAGCGGCGGCCACCTACTCCAACTTCACCACGGAGCAGCGCCGCGGGTTGGACGCGATCACCCTCGCGCTCCACAACCTCCAGCTGCGGGAACAGGCCGGGAGCGGCCGCGGTGGCCGAGGTGCGCGCAGCGACGCCGATGGCGGCCGCTCCATGGACGATGAAACCGCCAGTGAGGCCCCGAGTGCAGCGACCGCGGGCGCCCTCAGCGGGCATGGCGGCAAACGCCACCGCCGTCGCAGCAACAAGGCCGCCTACGGCAAAGCCCCCCCGCCGAGCGGCGGCACGGCTGCCGCGCTCGAGGACGCCGAGATGATGGCGGACGAGGACTACGCCGAGGCGGGCTACGTCCACTGCATGGGTGCGTGCTGGGTCCCGCCGCAGCGCCTGGGCTGGTGTCGGGTGTGCTCAGCGCTGGATGACTGGAAGATCATGATGGTGGAGTACGTGGATGAGCTCAGCTGTGGTGAGATGCGCCGCTACGCCGAGGCTTCAGAGCGCAACCCGCAATGCCCCGAGCTGCGGAAGGGTGTTCAAGGCCAATGCAAGCTGTACGCGTGCTCGCACTGCGTGGCGGCGGCGCAGAACATCACCGAGCACGAGGCCGTGACGCGCGCAGCGCGCCTGAACAAGGGTGCTGGCTCCATCGACCACGCCGCCAAGCGAGTGGCGAAGTTCCGCGCGAGCGTCGACCACATCAAGGAGGGCATGGACGTGCTGGTGGGGTTCGCGCTCTCCGACGACGGCTTGCTTGCCCTGCGGAGGTCAACGGAAGGCGTCGGGGTGGGCATCGATCCCGAGAGCACGGGCGCCCCCCCAGCAGCGGAAACGGTGGCGGAGGAGGTCGGTCGCCCGATGGCGGTGGAGGTGGTGCCGGGGCCGCCCCGCGCGCCACCTCCACCCCTCGAGGATGGGCCTGGCCCCGCAAACCCTGCCCGGGGCGATGAGAGCGACCCCCCGCCCGACAACGATGCTGAGGACCAGGGCCACCAGCTGACCAACGTCAAGACCGTGGAGGAGGTCACGGATGTCGAGCCCCTGCTGCGGCTCGGCCTCTCCAAGTAATCGCTGAAGCGTATGGCGCGGGCCTTTGGGGTCCTTAAATTCGAGACCATGCGCGCCCGCGTGCTGGGAGGCCTGGGGCCCATCCTGGAGAAGAAAGAGGACATGGTGAGGGGCGCAGAGGCGCAGGGCGGGGTCCAGAAGTGGCTCGACGCGCTGAATGCGGAGGCAGAGGATGATGTGGGAAGGCTGAAGAAGGGCCTCCTGGAAGCCTCGGGGGTCGCGGACGCACACCTGGGACGCAAACGTGCCTGGAAGGAGGAGTGCCAGGGCAACGCCATGGCGCAGGAGGCCTACTGACGCATGGGCGACTACACGGACCAGTTCTACCGTGGCAAGGGCTTCACGTTCAACATGTACTACAAGTGCTCG